AAAAACACATTCCTTTAATGCTAACGCATTTTTCCCCCCCTGCGCCAGCTCCCTGGAATTAAAAGGCTGTTTAGATATTCCAAGACGGGATTTTTGCTTGTGGCATAACAATTGAGGCAGCCTAATCATGCATATGTTAATGGTTTGTTTTAAGAGAGAGCCTTACAGGGCTCCAAGGCTGCTCAGCAATAATTTGGCTTTGCCCTGCACAAACCTTTCCTTATAAAACTCTTTTATTACCTGCGCAGCAATCGAGGACTAATGGGTTTTGTCCTGCTCTGCTGTGGGGACCGAGTCACGTCACCACTTTCTCCTGCTGGCAGAGAAAATATTTAATTTGGAATGTTTTATTCAGCTTTAAACCCATTTCTGGGTGATGAAAGAGAATAAGGAATAGGAATTTGGTGGGTGGATAGAGCTGGTTGTAATCTCACGTAGGGAAGTGGAGGGGCAGCTCCTGAAATCCAGAGGGACGTGGAGAGGTGGATCCATGCGGAGTTCCTGAGGTTCAGCAAGGCCCAGTGCTTGTCCTGCACAGGGATCAGGGAATGCCAGCACAAATCCAGGCTGGGTGGAGAAGGGTTGGAGAGCAGCCCTGAGGAGAAGCACCTGGAGGTGTTGATTTTGGAAAACCTGGAAATGCCCCGACCATGTGGGACCCAGAACTCCCAGTGGCCTGGGCTGATCCTGGTGTGGGCAGCAGGAAAGGGGAGATTCTGCTGCTCTGCCCCCTCAGCTGAGACCCCACCTGCAGAGCTGCCCCAGCTCAGGGATCCCAGCACCTCCAGGAAGGACCTGGAGCTGCTGGAATGAATCCAGAGGAGCCACAGAGCTGGAGCCCCTCTGGAGCCAGGCTGGGAGAGCTGGGAATGTTCCCCTGGAGAAGGGAAGGATCCAGGGAGAGCTGGGAATGTTCCCCTGGAGAAGGGAAGGATCCAGGGAGAGCTGGGAATGTTCCCCTGGAGAAGGGAAGGATGCAGGGAGAGCTGGGAATGTTCCCCTGGAGAAGGGAAGGATCCAGGGAGAGCTCCGAGCCCCTTGCAGGGCCTGAAGGGGCTCCAGGAGAGCTGGAGAGGGACTGGGGACAAGGGATGGAGGGACAGGAGCCAGGGAATGGCTCCCAGTGCCAGAGGGCAGGGCTGGATGGGATATTGGGAATTGGGAATTGTTCCCTGGCTGGGAGGGTGGGGAGGCCCTGGCACAGAGAAGCTGCTGCAGTCAGTCCTGAGGAGGCCACGGAGATGCTCCAGGGACTGGAGATTCTCTGGAGACAGAATATGAAGCAGCCAGACCAGGCCATAGCAGACTTTCTGTGCCCACTAACACTGATACAATTACATATTTATTCCCTGTGGAATTCACAGACAGATTTGGAATTTGCTCTGTGTTGCAACCCTCTGTTATCCCATATTTCACATTTCCTTGGTGTGTCCTTTCCTGTAGGGAGGCTGATAAGTGCCTATTTTTATTTTTCTCTTTCTCTGCTTAATTTTATGAATTTTTGTGGTCACTGAACAGGACAATAAATTGGAATGTTGTTAAATAACTTAATGAGGTGTCAGGAGCCCAGAAATATTCCCATGGCAGTCAGGCCTTTTAGCAGAGGAACGTTGATTCCCCCACACACCAGACACATTTCTCCTTATTTTAACAGTTATTTAGGGGGAAACGGTGATTGGTTTCTGAATCCATAATCCACCCTCAGCAGCTTAAGTTAATATTTAAAAATCTTTATGAGATTAAGATATTAATTTCTCCACACTGCTGGTTGTGGGGTTTGTGATGCTCTGTGTGTACTGGGGCGTGATCCACATCCACAGGGCCATTTTAAGTGGAAAAGAAAGAAGAGATAAATGGATTTATTGGTCTTGAGTGCTCATTAAGAATAAGGAGGGTGTTAATTGGGATGTTAATTAGTGGGGGTATTTGTAGGATGCTCAACACAGAGCGGTCACTGATGATCCAGGGAATCCAAAGCCTTTCCCAACAGGTGAACTCACTCTTCCAGGACCTGGAATCATCCCTGTGATCCAAACCAGATCCCGTGGGGAGCAGGGAGCACAAATTTAGGCCGAGGACTTTCTGAGGCAGCTGCCTGAGCTGGGACCACTGCACACAGCGATAAAGCAGGAGGGAATTTGGCCTTGGGGTGCCTCAGGCTTTCTCCAGGAAGACACTGGGAAATATTTCCCAGAGTCTTTGGAATTGTTTCTGGTCTCATCCAAAGGCAGGATTTAAAAATTAAATGAAATTCTGGTCTGGGCTGGGTAAAACAGAAGAAGTCTGGAGGGGCTGGTCTGGGCTTTCAGGTGAATGAGGATTTAAAGGAATTAATTCCTGGAGTGAGAGTCCCGTGCTTATGCTTTTATGTGTTAGGATATTATCCCAGGGAAATACAAGGGGTTTGCTTTTCCAAAGTGCTTTTCCTGGGGCTGTGTTGGCACAAAGTTTATCCCTGCTGGTGCCATCCCTTGGGGCAGGGACTGAATAACGATTATGATCATTAAACTGTTAATGAAAATAAGAGCAATTAAGGCGAATTCATGGGAAAAGTGTGAGGACAACTGGATCAAACAACACCTTCAGCTCATGACTAAACTACCAATCCAACTTTGCAGCTGAAATGTGGCAGCTCCTGTGCTCCTGGAATTATTTGGGAAGTTCTTTCTGCTCCTCCTGCCCTGGAAACATCCCTGGCCAAGCAGGTTGGCCCTGGGCTGAAGGGAGGCTCTGACAGCGACTCGCTCCAGCTGACACATCCCGTTGTTATCCGAGAATGTTTGGGAAGTGTCCCTAAATCCCAGCTGGAGGGATGAGTATATTTAGAGTTGACACACAATATGCTCCGTGTTTGCCTTGGCTGAGCCAGCTGGGATAGGAGGAGGATGCTCTCCAAGGCAGGGCTTTACTTTGGGGCTTTTCCTGCTGTTAATTCCAAGCCTGTGCTCATCCGGGAGCAAAATTTGTCTCTGTCTAATTAGGGAGAAGACAAGGTACCAACCATGCTTGGGAAAATTAATCTGCCCTGCTGATAAGAGAAAGGATTAGGCCGTTATTGTGGAAAAATAATTTAAACTCGGAGCTTAAAGCCCAGCAAGGAAGGCAGGAATTCTCGTGGGACTTTTCAGTGGGGTGGGAAAGATTCAGGTGACAGGAAAGGGATGCACAGAGGAACTGTTTGAAAAGGGGCAAAAAGCTGAGGGATAAAACTGCAAAGCTTGGGAAGTGCCTGAGCAAAAGGGTTTGGAACATGGGCTGGCACAAACCAGCTGGGAGGAGCGTGGAGAGAATTACAGAGAAAGGAATGAAAAATAAAGGGGATGGCAGCCCCCAAAGGAGATTTTAAATGGAACTAAGAAGAGAACAAGCAGCTGCTCCAGGGGGAAATCCCAGTCTCTCGTTTTCCCAATTTTCTCCCCATCACAGCCACAAACAATGCCCATCACGGGTGTCACTGGGAAATGCCATGAGCTGCTTTGCAGGGAGAACGCTCCAAGCCTTCAGAAATTCATGGGAAAGGGAGGCAGGAATCATCAAAAAAGAGTTTTCCCTCTCCTGATGCCCCAGGTGACACTTTCCTCCCTCCCTGGGGTTGAAGATAAGGGTCAGGCGGTGATTTTCTGACAGCTCTGAAACACTTTTGCCTGCCTGTACAACACCAGCGAGCTCTTCCCACCTTTCCCATTATTCCCCTTTTCTCTGCCAGTTTTTCTCATCTCCGGGAAAACGAGGCAGCCTCGTACTCCTTCAAATCAAGTATTATTGGAGCCCCTGCAAATAGAAATCCTCTGGCTCTGGCTGGGCTCTTGCAAAACCAGTGGGAGGCTGGGAACCTCCCCGCTCTGGAGCGCTTGTAAAATGTTTGAAAAGGAGAATTATAGGGGAAAAAAAAAATCCCTGGATGTACTGAAATAGCCACCCACAGCCTCCCTGAGCACAATAACTGGATGCACTAAGTCATTCCCAAGACAGTTGGGCAGAGTTTTTGCTGGGATAGCTTGGAGATAAGGGGAAATGATTCCATCACCTGTTTTGTTTTGTTTTGTTTTTTCTCATCCCGGCCAAAACAAAGAATAGGGAATAATGGTTTGTCCAAATGATCCAAAAAGGATCAAGGGAAATGCGCAGGGTGAGCTGAAATCCATCATTTCCTCCAGGGTGAATCACAGCAAGGCTGGAATACTTGGGAGAGGTTCTGCCAGCCAAAGAGGCAAATCCCAGTCGTGAATTCCTCATATTTGGATACTTCCAACTATTTCCCAACCTTCCAAACACAAATAATAACAATTCCTGCAGCTCTCTGTTGCTCCCTGCCCCACACTGGGCTGGATCATCATTAAAGCATCTTTGTTTTCTCCCTGCCAATGCCACGGGACTGGGCTGGGATTTGCCAAGCACTAAGAGGGACAGATAAGAGCAGCTAAAATAATTGGGATTTAATTCCCAGAAGCAGTAAAGTACCTTGTAAAGAGCAGTGCTTCACCGGATTTTCCCATATGGAAATAAGACAAGACAAGAGAGACACTGAGAGGCTGGAGCGTGGCCAGGGAAAGGAATGGAGATGGGAAAGGGTCTGGAGAATTCCTGAGGGAGCTGGGAAGGGTCTGGAGAATTCCTGAGGGAGCTGGGAAGGGTCTGGAGAATTCCTGAGGGAGCTGGGAAGGGGCTGAGGCTGGAGCAAAGGAGGATCCCGAGGGATCTTTTCCCTCTCTGGAATTCCCTGGCAGGAGGGGACAGGCGGGGGGGTCGGGCTCTGCTGGCAGGGAACAGGGACAGGAGGAGAGGGAACGGCCTCAGGCTGGGCCAGGGCAGCTCAGGGGGGATTTTGGGGGATTTTGGTGCTGTTTTCCCCAGGAGATCCCTCAGCTGGATTTCAGGAATGATGTGAGGATGGATCTCAGGAGGATATTCCATAATTCCTGCCCGTGGATCCAGGCTTTTCTCCCTGTGCCCAGCCTGGAGGAATGTAGGTCTCTGCAGCAGCTGTGGCACCTCTCATTTCCAACATCTCTGCAAACACAGAGAATTTTGCTCTCCTTTCATCCTCGATGAAAAGATCTGTGGGAATGACGTGAGAGCAGGGCCGGGAGGAGCCCTCGGAATTAACTGGAGCTTCTCCCGGGGGTCAGCTCCGAATCCCAGCCTGAAAAAACTCCTGTCCCAAATACAGATCTGGGCTCTGCTTATTCAGGTCAGCACCGGGGCCGAAATCATTCTCTGCTTAAAATGACAGATGTTGCCTTTGAGTTAATTCTGGCAGGTTTTTGGCTGAACACAAAGGGAAATGTTGATTTTTTTTCAGCATCTTAAACACCAGAAAGGATTTTTTGGCTGAGCTGCCTCTCAGTGCTGGGATACAGGACATGGATAATTCTGTGTTTCCCAAGGAAAGGCTGCCCCACACTTCCAGAAGGTGGGATAATCACTCACTTTCTAAGTGGAAAGTCTTTGGAGCAGAATAAATTATTATTATTATTATTATTATTATTATTATTATTGTTGTTGTTGTTGTTGTTGTTGTTGTTGTTGTTGTTGTTGTTAATGTTATTATTGTTATTATTGTTATTATTGTTATTATTATTATTATCATAATCATCATTATCATTATCATCATTATCATTATCAATATAAAAATTTAAATTTAAATTTAAATTTAAATAAAAATAAAAATAAAAATAAAAATAAAAATAAAAATAAAAATAAAAATAAAATAAAAATTAATCCCATCCCTCAGGATGTGTCTTCTGTATTTTGCTCTTTGAATCACAGCATCCTGCAATATCCTGATTTGGAATTGGATCCCACAAGGATCAAGTTCAACTCTTCCCCCTTCGTGGGACAGCACCAAGAATCCTTCCATGTTTAATTCATGTTTTTCCACCCAAATCCTGCCCTTCCCTTTCCTGCATGTCCTGCTTCCCATGAGGCAGCTTTTCCCAACATCCCATCCCAGGAAAAGCTGCACCCTTAACCTATTTAACTTCATTTTCTGCTGGAATTCTCTCTATCTAAGCTGGGACATGAGGTAATATAACCCAGTTATTAACGTAATTACCCAGATAATTAAGTCCCAGTTGGAATTTGGGGTTTTTTTGGGGGTCACTCCATAGGATCAAACACATGGGGCTGTTCAGGGGATGATTTTGAGTGACTGTGAGGGAAAGAACCCCTGGATATCCCATGGGATATGGAATGAAACTTCTGGCTGGGGGAGGAAGAGCTTCTTCCTCTTCCTCTTCCTCTCTGCATAACATCTGGCCACAGCTGTAGGATGAAAACAAATAATTTGTGGGGTTTTTTTTATTGAGCAGATCAATAAAACAGCAATGAATTCATGTCTTGAACCCCCCTGTGAACGCCCTCACCACAAGATTCCCAAAGACACAGAATTTGGGCAAATCACATCTCTGCTTCCATGGCAAGCCCAAAATAATGATCATTTCAGTGCAAAAAATAATCTTGTTTTATTTCCCCTCTGCACCTGGGATCACTGGTCTTTCCTCCAAAGGTAGCAGATCCTCTTTAGACAGAAACTGGTTTTAAATAAAGGTGGGCAAAGATCTTTTCAAAGTCATTTGTGCAAAGCCTGGTGTTCCTTTACTCCTGGTCAAACCTCATGAACTCATTTCTGTGTATCAGTGCTCCTGACTTGGGAAAAACAGAACAAATAAGAAAAGAAAATTAAAAAAAATAGAAAAATGAGAGAAATGAGAAGAATTTTCACCTCCGATGAGGTGTGGGAAGAAAATGAGCTGGAAAATAAGTGTGTGGTGTCCCAGATCATGCTCAGTGCCCGTGCCAGGATCCATCCTCTGCCTCTGACCCTGCTGGCTGGGGAAACATCGGGGTTAAACCCACCCTGCCTGTGTTTTCTTCCCTTTCCTAAGGGTAATTCCTGGTTCTGCTGGGGTTGAGAAGCAGCCAGTAGCAAACAGCAGCTATAAATAAAAGTGAGGCAAAGCAGATCGTTCTTACATGTGGCCCTGGAAAAAAAACCTCCCAGGCTGGGGCTGGAGGAGCAAAGGAAGAGCTGTGCTATATTTAAACTGGGCTTAATTAGACTGAAGTGCATCAAAAACAACAACAGAGGGCTTGGAATGTGCTGGGAAAGGTGAATGGATGCTTGGGATGGATCCTAAACCCCCTTGGTGGGGGCTTTCCTTCTGGTGCTCATCCAAAGCAGTTTGTGATGGATTTTCACTTGAGGAGAAGTTTGCCAGCTGTGCCAGGAGGGGTTTAGGCCTGAGTTTAGGGAAAGATTTTTGCCCCAGAGGGTGCTGGGCGCTGCCCAGGCTCCCCAGGGAATGGTGACATACCCAAGGCTGCTGGAGCTCCAGGGATGCCCAGGGTGGGATTGTTGGAGTGTCTGTGCAGGGCCAGGGGTTGGATTTATGATCCTGTGGGTTTTTTCCAGCTCAGGATATTCTGTGATTGTTTGTAATGCTCAACCAGCCTGGAATGGAGCAGGGAATCCCTCATGGATCCCTCAGGATGTGTCAAATCCAGCCCTGGCCCTCTGGAGCAGGACACAGGGACCTGACCCTCCAGCAGGCTCTGGGCACAAGCAGCAGCTCCAAGGACTTTCCTTCACCCTGCTCCAAGCTCAGGATTTAAAAATAAACGAGAGCAGCAAGCAGCACAGTCAGATGGACTCAAGATCACCATCAAACTTGTTTTGTTCTTTTTTTCTCTCTTCTTAACTTTAACCCCTGGGTTCTGCAAACAGCACTGACAAAATGGATGGCTCCTCTAAGCTGCTGTCTTTTATTTTTAGGGTAAAAATAGTGGTTTAATGTCCTTTTGAACCAGAGGAACATCTGGCTCATCTCTGTGACGCCTTGAGCCAGGTTTTTTTTTTTGGATGGGGCAAGTGCCTGCCTGGATTTTATTCCTGGTCTACGTGGGAAGCTCTCCCGTGTGATATTGCAGCTCCAGCTCGTTGCCATCTCCTCACCCCTCTGGAGTCTGGACAGAGCTGAGCTCCAGCCACGTGATTTATCCTCCCTGGTGCTTGCTTTGACAAAGCTAATCTTTCAGAAATGTTTGAGCAATCAAACAGTCTGGGGCTCATGTTCTTCCCCGGCTCCAAACCTCTTCGGTTTCCAGCTGCTGCCAGGGGTCTCCGGGCCAGCTGGAGAGAACTTAAAGGAAAACAAGCAAAAAAAAAAAAAAAAAAGAAAAAAAAATTAAAAAAAAAATCCCTCCTCTGTGTCTGGGTCATTTACAGTTATAATATTTCTTAATAAATGTTTTTCTTTGCTCCAGGCTGCGCTCCCCAGTGCTGCTGCACCTTCCCTCCTCTTTCCCTGCTCTCCAGGCAGGGCCTGTCCTGGCTCCAGGTGGGGGAATTCCTGCTCATTCCCTCCATTCATCCCACGTTCTGTCACAGGAGCTGGACACGTCCCAGCTGTGTCCTCTGGCACCCAGAATCCCCCAAATCCTGGGCTGATCCTGGTGTGGGCAGCAGGAAAGGGGAGATTCTGCTGCTCTGCCCCCTCAGCTGAGACCCCACCTGCAGAGCTGCCCCAGCTCAGGGATCCCAGCACCTCCAGGAAGGACCTGGAGCTGCTGGAATGAATCCAGAGGAGCCACAGAGCTGGAGCCCCTCTGGAGCCAGGCTGGGAGAGCTGGGAATGTTCCCCTGGAGAAGGGAAGGATCCAGGGAGAGCTGGGAATGTTCCCCTGGAGAAGGGAAGGATCCAGGGAGAGCTCAGAGCCCCTTGCAGGGCCTGAAGGGGCTCCAGGAGAGCTGGAGAGGGACTGGGGACAAGGGATGGAGGGACAGGAGCCAGGGAATGGCTCCCAGTGCCAGAGGGCAGGGATGGGTGGGATATTGGGAATTGGGAATTCCTGGCTGGGAGGGTGGGGAGGCTCTGGCAGAGGGTGCCCAGAGCAGCTTCTCCACATCTCCAGAAAAAATTAATCCCATTTTTCTGTGTTCTTCATTCACACACCTCTGAGCCGGCTGGTTCTGAGGGTTTGGATTCCAAAAGAAGCTGAGGGAAACCCCTCCCTGGAGTGCACAGCCTCTAAAAACCCCGATGGAAGAGGGGGATTATTTGGGACAATCATCAGCATCCCCTAAACACAACTCAGAGCTTTCACACCCACTCATCTCTTTCCTATTTTATTCCCACCCTTTATTATTATTTTTTTTTTTTACAACGTGGCTTTTCTCCCCTTCTCTGTTTGTTATTGTTTTCCTTTCCCAGCCTTTAATGTTCCCTCACACCCTGACTCCAGCCCAGCTGTGGAAGAGGGATCTGACACCTTCCCCCAGCTTTGGTGAAGTGTGAACACCTCATTATCCCAGATTCCAGCCCAGGAAAGGGGGAACAGGAGTTCCTATCCCTAAATCTCCCTGACTCCCTGGCCCGGCTCTCTGGGTAAGGAGAGCACAGGAAATCGTTGATTTTAGTGCTCTCTTGAAAAATGTAAACTTTGGGTCTTCTCCTGGCTGCTTGGCGGGGGGAGAAGCGATGTGAGGTCTGGGGAGGGAGGTTGGAGGGAAATGAAAAGGAGTTTAGTGCCGTGGAGCTCTCGGACAGCCTGGAAAAAAGGATTCCTGGGAGACCCAGTTCCTCGGGCCACGCAGCCATCCTGGCCCCACAGCCCCATTCCAGGGGCACACGGGACACAGGATGGTCCCCAAATCCTCATAGACCAACAGCTGAGCACGGAAAACAGCCTGGAAAAATATCCAGAGCCATTCCCAGCGATCCTGGGCTCCTGCCAGGCTGAACAGATCCAGGGAACTCAGCTCCACCGTGTCCCTGCAGGAGGATCTTCATCCCCTCTTGACCTTCCCATCCTCAGGCTGAGCTCCCTGTGTTTATCACCAGCTCTAAAGAGATAAAAATTATTAATGAATCCTCACATTTTACAAATTAAATTGGGTAAAAGGGCCACAATAAAAACTGAGGAGTGATCAGGAGGTGTAAGAGAAGCGAATGCGTCTGTGGGAGTTTGTCCATGGAGGTGCTCAGAGGCTTTCTCAACAACAAATTCATCTCCAGGAGTCAAATCTGACTGCAGGGGAAAAAATGGGCAGAATAATAGATGGAATTTGTACATAAAAAATACCAAAATTAGGAGAAGGAGAAGGAGAAGGAGAAGGAGAAGGAGAAGGAGAAGGAGAAGGAGAAGGAGAAGGAGAAGGAGAAGGAGAAGGAGAAGGAGAAGGAGAAGGAACAGAAGAAAAAGAAAAAGTTCAAATATAACATTTTCCCTATGGAATTGTGGACAAGGCCATGGAGATAAGAGCACCTCTTCTCTCCAGAGAATAAATGTGGAGTGAAAAACCTACAGAGCTCAGTTTAACTAGGCTTGGCTCAAAGGCTGGACCTCCAGCAGTTTCCTGGAGCTGATTTAAGGATCTCTGTACCTTCTGTTACCTGATCTCAGGGTTATTTCACCCAAAGTCAGTATTTTGCATTGTCCATTACACCTGGAATGTTGTTAATTATGATAATCCCAGTAAATGAAATAATTTTCAGGTTTTGGCTTTCTCCAGCCCCTGGTGGCCATTGACTTGTGTTGACACCAGGTTCTGAGGTGGGGGGATGTCCAAGCCCTGAAGCCACGTTTCCATTGGACTTCCCATGTGTGCATGAAGAATCCCAGGATGGCAGAGGCTGGAAAAGCCCTCCAAGGTCATCGAGTCCAAGCTGTTCCCGATCCCCACCTTGTCACCAGCGCCACGTCCAGTCGTTCCTTGGACGCCTCCAGGGATGGGGACTCCAAACCTCCCTGGGCAGTTCCAATCCCTGCCCATCCTTTCCATGAAGAAATTCCACCTGAGAAGGGAG